ATTACTTCTAATTGCGTTTCATAAGTTGTGGATTCAATTTGTTTAACTGTTTGATTGATAACTTATTTATGTATGTTTATTGAGAGTATACGCTTAATTTTCATGCATGAATATGACGCTAGAATATAAGTGAGTTTCACCTAATAGTTACGAACTTATATTCACAAGTAGTGGAGGTTGCTTATAAACAATCGCGTTAAACGAATTCTTGGCATAAGTTTCATGCAATCATAGTAACGAATGCCTCGTCAACACTTATAGTTTTCATGTTGCTTAATGATTCTTGCTTGTATCTCTATTATGCAATTCATGTAGGGAACTTGTGAGGAATGCTTTGGATTGTCGTATGCAATCATCCAATTCATTAACTTAAGGAAAACTTGACGGTTAATTTAAGCGGACCTAATTAACTTGGGGTGTTGAGAATTCATGGTTTATTGAAATGCAATTGGAAATCTTTTTATTATGCAAGTGTAACATGTGTGGAGATGAACCCCTTAGCTAGCCATCCCATCCATTCAATTCCATCACATTCATCTTTACAATCTGTTTTTAATTACAATCTGTGCATTTTAGTTAATTTCGTCAAAAACTCAATCCCCCTTTACTTTAGTGTCCAACTTAGTTAGAAAGTGTCTTAGTTTGGGTTTCTAAGTGTTTTGATTCATTTTATTACCCAATTTCGTCCAAAGTAGTCAAAGTGCTCAAAACTACCCAGAAAGTGTTTTTAAGGCAGTTTTGAGTGTTTTGGGTGCTGTTTGAGTCTTTTGGTTTGTTTTAGTGTTTTAAATGTTTAGTTTTGCATTCTTTGAGTCTAGTTTAGTGTTTTAAACTTTATTTTACGTTTTTGACTCAGTTTCCAAGTGATTTTGCAATCCCTCCTAATCCCCGGTTAAGAACGATCCCTACTTATACTACAATTGATAAAAAGAGGGTTTAATTTGTGTGCGTATAATTCTCGCATCAAATACGAATAATGACTATTGGAAGGTTGATCCATGACCTCCCAAGTGAAATAATGTCAATTTACCAACTCAACTTCATTGATTTCTTAGCACATGATTATGTATTATAATATATATATATATATATATATATTATCACTGTCGAGAATGATGGATGTCGTCAAGTCACTGTTCAATAGTGACATCAAAATAATAGGGGTGTGTTTGTTGCATCGAACTATCTTGGACTGGACTAGCTTCAGAGACTAAGCTGAATTGTCTTCGACTAGACTAAACTAGACTAACTTAGTGAAGCGTTTGGTGCAATGTCGGACTAAGAGTAAAATAATGATTAAAAAAAAAAACCCATGATATGTAGCAAAATATTCTTATCCAATGAAAGTGAACCCCAGCATCGAAAGTTTCTGCACAATTAACCAAATTCTAGAAAAATCAAAACTAAATGAAATCCTTCAATTTGTTATCCCAGAAAAAGCAAAACTATTGAATCATTCAATTTGATCAACCACTCCAAATTGCTCAAAAGCTCTAATATCTCAAAAAAATCAAATCCTTCAATTTGGTATTTCAAAGACAACTCGCAAATCCAACCCTCCCTTCACAATTCAAACGCAACCCAAATCACAAAATCATTTTCTTGATATATGAGAGTTCATCTCCTTCATAAGTCCTCTGTTTATTTTCGGCTCAAGTAATTACTTAAAGATTTGTAGCTGAATAACTCTTCAATTAACAATAACAAATTCCTTCTCGACCTTCCATCAAATATTTTGAAACCCTCTGCAGTTGTAATCCTTCGAGAGAGAACGCAAAGTACCCAACCCAGAACCCTTTATCATGTTCACGATTCAGAAACACAATTAGGAATTCCAATCGGAAGGAAAATCGAATCCTAGAAAAAACGATTCGAGAACCCAGAAAAATCAATTAAAAAACCCAGAAAAAAATCGATTCGAAAACCCAAAAAAGGGTAAATACCTGCAAATCGAGTCTTGCAGACTTGGACTTTTAGATTCGTTTGAATCGTTTTTGTCAAACCCAGTCTTGCAGACTTGAAGATCTTCTAGACAGATGAGAAAGAGGTCGGGAGAAAGACAGTGGGAGGGCAAGTTCTCAAGCATGGGGTGAGGCAAAGTGAGGGGAAGCGGGAAAATGGGACTAGCAATCCCCTCCTTTTTCAGGGGCTCTTGCTAAGCCCAGCTAACGAAGGATTTAGTCGGCACAAGTCCAACTTAATCCCACTACTCAATCCCAGCTTGCACCAAACACAGAATAATAATGCTACCCAAGTAGTCTACTCCAATGAAACTTAAGGCCTCGACTGTACTGACTATTTCTGTCGGATAGGATAAATAGCCACCGGATAATACTGACTAAATTAGTCGGACGTTTGGTGCAGTATTGGACTAATGATCGTATTATTTATACTGTGTTTGGTACTGAACCAAATAAGAAAAGGGAGGTTACATCATTTGATATAATCTCAATCAGTTCAGTGTAAGTTACATCATTGATAGAAGGCAAGTCATTAGATGCCAACACAACCTGCATAATAAGAGGCAATCAAGTGAAAATGCTCAGCAAGGCAACTCATTCAAAAAGCATTCATAATAAATTTCATGCCTATTGTTATTTGGCAGGAAGAAACAAGTTCGAAAAATACATGCTAAAGAACCAGATGCATTGAACATAAGAACAAGATTTGGGGTTTCTGCATAAAAACCAGATGCATTGAACATAAGAACAAGATTTGGGGTTTCTACATAAGAACCAGATGCATTGAACATAAGAACAAGATTAGACAGTAAACCTATGTCCCACACCGGAGTAATTCTCTTCCAAATGGTAAAATACCCAAAATAATACCAGAAATATTTACTATAACTTATCAAATCCCACCCTCCATACGAACCCACTCATCGATACACCAACCAAAATTAAAATCCCAAATTGAATATTTTCAATGGTAATAAACCAACAGGCTCCTCGTCGGAGCCCAGATCCGAATTGCTATCCTCGTCCTCGTCGGAGCCCGGCTCCCTTCCTCGTAAGAACCCAGATCAGAAGAATTTAAATCATCGTTTTCCTTCTTCAACCCATGGAAGGTTTTGTTGTCACTTGTTAGAGATCGAAGGCGAACGATGAGGTAGGAGGTGCGTGTGCATGTGTAAGGAGGAGGGAGGAATAGAGAGAGAAAAGAAGAAGAAGGTGAAGATGAACTTGGGATCCAGACAAAAGAGTGCATGCGATGTAAGAAAGTGGAAGGAGAGTGTTGCGAGAAAATGAGAGGGACGAAGAAGCGATAGAGAGGGACAAAATAAGCGAGGAGAACCATTATACCCGACTAAATTATTCGAAGGTTTTGGTTGGGATAAACAAGCGGGCAGGAGATGTATAAAATAAGTGGGCCCGGATTAAATAATCCGGTGCTTATTTAATACAAAACTCATCAAACACCCGTTTCATACTATTAATACTATCCAGTGGTCTTATACGACGTGCCAAACAAGGCCTAAGGTGGCCAAACAAACACGACCTAGCAGTACATGTAATCTTTGTCACTGGATCATTCTATTTTTTTGGTGTCCCTGTGGTTTTTAGCTTTGTTAGTCCTGTGTGGGTTCTCTGTTGTAATCTGGCTTGGCCCTGGTGTAATTCCAATTTTCCAAAAAAAAAAAAAAATTGCTCGAAAGTTGAGCAGTCTGCCACATGTTGCTAGAGAAAGGGGTGTGATATCCACACAACTCATTTTACTTTTCACACACTTTTTTATTTTTCAACCGTCAGATCGGATAAATTGAAAAATATCAATGGACAGAAATTATCAAGGAATGTGTGAGAAGTAAAATGGGGTGTGTGGATAGCACAAAGAAATTAGTGAAATTGTGTGGCAATCATTTAAATATCTTAAAATTTAGTTGTATTCATAAAATGATTTTGGTTTACTTTTTCATTGGTGCCTAAACTAAAAGTATTTCCCTAAGTGTTTTTTTGTAGATTTGGTATTTAAACAAAAAAAAAAAAAATCCCGTCCGTTTCTGTCCTTTTTTTCTTGTTTATTTTTTGCCTTTTCAATTTTAACCAAATTAATTTAAATGATACAACCCCATTGATCTATTTTTAGGCATCAACAGATACATTGTTAGCGTTTAACATTAACACTAATATAACTCAGGATATATGAGTAAGGGAGGGAAACAAACCTCTTTCTTTTTCTTATTTCTTTGTATAAAACTTGGTTCTTAATCCTTCTCTAATGCATTTGGCCTAAAACCTAAAGTTTAGCACCTAATTGTCAAACAATTGTTTTATCTTCGAAAAACAAATTCTGTAGATTTTTTTTTTTTGTTTAGGTCATCTTTGAGCTTGTTTGGATGTGCTTTTAAATGACTGAAATCGCTTTTGGTGAAAATGTTGTTAGAACCAACCCTTATTAAAAATACAAGTAAATCCTCAAAAAGCACTTGAAGTGCTTTCTGCAAGAAGCACTTTAAGTGCTTTTGGAACCTAAAAATATTTTCTTTAAAAGCGCTTTTAGTCATTTTTAAAAGTACATTCAAACGAGCTCTTAATCTATTTTTACAAATATTTTAACCTAAGCAAATTCAAATTTCGAGAAAGTACGAAAAGTTAGCTCAGTATTTGAATAAATTTCTTGTGACTTATTTTTGGTTAGAATCTTGTGAAATTCAGATTCATGAGTAGTTTGTGTAGGAAATGTTTTTATTGTGGACTCAGTGTCATCCACATTTTACTTTGTTTCTATATATCTTGCTATTGTGAAATGTAAATGATAGAAGCTTTAAACAAATTGATTTCACTATTGTGTAACAAAGCATATCCAAAAAGGGTGGCCAAATGTGATTAAATTCACTTTCTTCTGTTCTAGCTAACCACATTTGGTTAGCCACCCTACTAAGTTTGACTTATGCGCATATACTTTGCTGGATGAGTATTTTTTGGCGATTTGAGTAAAAAAATTACTTCAATTTTGGTCAAGCTAGATTATCAAAGTAATGTGACTCAATTAAGATATTGGAGAAAACTATATTTTTTTCAATAATCTACAATGAAAATATCAGGCTCCATTAGCTTCAACTCTGACGTGTAGTGGATAATGTGTGACAGCCATTTGTAAATGCTTTGCAATCACTAAACAACATATCAATCTCAAATTGTGGATTGTCCAAGTTTGTGTTTTCATTAAAATCTTGGCACGTCTCCTAATCATTCTCACTATCATTGTGCCTAGGGTCACTGAATCTTCCATCTCGCCACCATTGCCTACCTCGCAAACAATTTCTTCTTCGCCCTTACCATTGGTTTAATTTTCTTGTACAAGTCCAACCCACTAGTCTCTAAACAACAAATTCCTTGAATCGTAGATCATCGTCATGCATGGCATAATCACTTTCTACAAACTCCAAATGACTACAGTCATCTTGCTTTGATTCTTCAAATGAGTTATAAATGATAGATTGCTCACCACATAGTCTAGCACTCTTCATTGTACCCATACTAGATGATGTTCCCACATCCACAGGTTCTCCAAAATTATCCTTTTCGTCAGCTCCAGTAATCTCAACTTCATCATTCACATACGGGTCTTGTGCGTTCACATTACCTTCTCGCTCATCGACAATATCTTCATTAACATAATCAGTTTCACCAAATGTAACTTCATTACCAATGTCAACTTTAACACCAACATTATCTCCCAACTTAGTTGGATGAACAATAGAAACTTCTTCTTTAGTTTGGTATACTTGGAGGTGTTCTAAGAACATATCTATGTGCCTCGCAAAAAGAATGAAGTCACACTTACAAACCACATTGAATTCTTCCTTCAGTAAAGTTAAAGTCATGTTGACACCCTCCCCTGAAAAGCTTGCAATAATAATCATATTCTCACTGTGACCCAATTCCAATACTACTGCATCATTTTTTTTATTTTTTTTATTTTTATCACCATCATACCGCCTATCACAATAGTCAAAGAAGTTCACGTTTCCATTGACATGGTAGGTTCCAAACATTAAAACACCATATTACATTCTAACTGTGAAATGTGCTGGATCAGCTAAAAACCAACATAAAAATGATCACACATGTTCTCTTGAATACCAAACACACACAAGACAACATTTTTTTCAACTAATATTACCTAAGTATACTTACCACTACACCCACACATACACTACCAACAACATTCACTTCCTCAAACTCCATGACTATCTTTTATTTATTGGAAATTACCTGCCACACGCAGCACTAACAAACAAATTGAAACAAAAAACAAAAAACAAAAAAAAAAAAAAAAAAAGGGACGCGCCAAACCACTTTATATTTAACATCAACCTGAAAGATAAACATTTCCACTCTGTAAATATAGGGTGGCGCAGCATTGGTATTTATACAGACTGTTGATACAATACTAATTCATATAGGACTTAGGTTATACAGAAGTAGTAACAAGGAATCTAAAACAGCAGGATTTCGAGTCACCCTAGGATTACAAGGAATCCAAAGACTATTGATGCAATACATATTGTATCCTCTCTTCGCCACCCAATCTTCAAAGAGTGAAATAAAAATATTAATAAATATGCATGTAAACATAAATTAAAAATCAAATTAACCAAATTGAAATAGTTAGATCAAATGAAGATTTGAGTCCACCAATTATTACACAAAACAATTCATACAGTAGGCTCATAAGAAAATGTAGCACTATGGTGGTGGAGGAGGCCCAGGCTCAAACAGTGGAGGGCAACAACATTTAAATATACCGCAGCAGCACAAAATCCACAAACTACATAATCAAAACCAAATTTCAAAATTTAAATTTAAATTTTTAAAAAATGCAGTAGAATTGCATATTTGCAGAAATTCTCCAACGCGGATAAATTAATCTTGCGGGATGTGACTGGTTGTATTGGGCTGGCAGCTGGCTTATCCTCAAATCCCGCTAGATTCATCCCGCATTAGAGAAATCTCCCATTGTACATGATGTACACCAAAAATATTGAAGTGAAAAGAACTTACCATAAATCCAAGCATCCTGCTTGGTGATAGGGAGGAGGTGCGGGGGCTAGCAGCGGCGTGGTTGGCTGTGGTGGCGGTGGATCCATCTCTGGCACTGATATTGGCAGGTGATGAGGAACAAAGTCCAAAGAAAAACTTTACATGTAAGTGATCCAACAAACCATGCTATCTATCCCCAAGTCATAGTCTTCCAACTACCATTCAAAGAAGTTCAAAGTCTTTGCATAATGTTTGCTCAACTAACAGCACTTTGGAAGTTTTGTGTACAAAAATGGATGTGCATCTTCTGAACTACTACTCCTCCCTAATGGCTCAACTACGGAACCACGAAAATTCAGAGTATAAAGTACCACTGAGTACAAATCGAACGGTTAAAAGACTTGGGAGTGTATTAGGAAATCCCAACGAAACTAACTCCATTTTCTGAAGACATGTATGATAAAGTAAGAAACAGTCAAGTTTCAATACTGGATCCTTTACCATAAGTGGACGAATATTCATTGACAATTGGGATCGTTAAACCATCTTGTCTAGGTTAGAATCTTCTATTTTTTTTCGAGGAAATTGACACAATTTATCATAGTCAGTAAGTTGTTATAAAGATATATTTCATTTTTTGGGGTAGAGGTCCACAAGTGAGTGATTGCTAATCATTGAGTGTGATAAATTTACCACATTCGATAGTCATAATAAATATATTTGATTTCTTGGAATAATCGCTCGTGCTGACGTCTCTTGACGCAACTTAATTATAGAAGAAAATTTAAACGATAACTTTAGATTAGAAAATTGGAATATACTAGAAAGTATGAGAAAAATCTCGAAGTTTATGATTGAATAATATGAATGACAACAACCCTAGGTTCCCAACACCACATAAATATGGTTATATGCCCTACAACAAGGCTCTGCTAGGATATTCTAATGAGATGCAAAATACAAAAATAAAATAATTATGAATAAGCGAAGAATATTTTTCAAGTTGTTCTTTAATCTATTTTCTGTTCTACATCATTCCTAACAAATTAAATGAAATGAGTAATTTATAGTTAGCGTTTTGAGCTGTTCCTTTGACCAGATTGCTACAATTATGTGCAACCGCATGCGGCATGGAAAAATGTCTAGTGACCATGTGAGAGAAGTTATAGGCTTGATTTTTTTAATTACAAGATGATATATATTCTACACTAAATTTACGAAATTAAGAATTCGAACATAGGTACAAACAAATAAACTATCTTGATCAACTAGTCTACCCTGTTTGCATATGCGACCACAACTGTTATCCCAAACATTCCATGTTGTTCTTTTTTTGCGGTTCTTCAGGATAAATGGGATTATACAAAAATATGAAATAGAACCATTTTGCTGGTCCCCGGGTGGTGGATATAGGTGTAAAGTTTGGCTGCTTCAATCGGTTTGCAGGTTATTTCGTGGTAATTTTGAGTTTTGGCTTTGCTATAATGTTGTTTGCTTGTGGTTTAGCCTTGTTTATCATTTGATACTTTTGAAGATCTGTATATTCTATGAACTAGGGATCAGTTGTTATTTTGTGGTGCTAAATTGGCGATGTGTGTGGTTCGTTGCCTCTGGGTTTCAAGCTTCTGCGGTTAGCCATCCCTCACATAGGCTTCTTAGGTTTTCTCTACAAGTCACTTTTGAGCCTCTATTGGTTGGGCCACTTAGAAGGGTATTTATTTTTGAGTTGAAACCCCGTATGCATTTATGTTATTCATCGTTTTTGTGCTCGATGCAGAAAGAAACTATTACTCATGCTTTATTGCATCAGTTGCTTTCTTTTTGCATGCTAGTTCTTTTTAGGGCTCGTTGTAAGTTGTTTTATGTTCAGACTTTGTTTAATAATGAATTACTCCTTTGACTCAAAAAAATAAAAAAAAGGGGGGAACCAATATGCTTATCTTTTTGCATTTACTGAGTTACAAGCAGCATACCATCCTTTTCATCTCCTAACATAGTTGAATTTCTATAACTTCTGTACAACCACCAAACAACATACACAGCCTATGATTTTCTTCAAAGAAAAAAGTATAGAAAAAAAAAAAAAAAAAAAATCTTCAGAAACCCGCTTGCTTCCTCATGATTCCTTCGAGCAACCGGCCGCAAACAAGTATCTGAACCAAGCTTAAAATCTGGTATCCATCCTTTTCCGTGTGCTTTACCCAAGTCAAGTTTCTCCTGTCATGGGGGCTTATCACTTGTTACGCGAAAAGACTCAAACCTGGGCTCAGTTAAATCCACCGTCTCATCATCGTTGGTACGACAACTCCTAGCATTTGAAGTCAAGAGGATCAATCTCTCCATATGGTTATCTGAAACAGAATCTGTATCTCTTTCAGCACAGAGATTACGGTCAATGTCTAGTGGCAGTGAACAACGAACTGAACTTTTATTGGATTTCGCTTGCCTTGGCTCCTCAGCATCTTTATGGCCATCCATGCCTATGTGCTGTGCAGAAGAATACACAGGTCAAGACTTTATACGCATTGCTCAAATCGTACATTATGAGGACATGACTCCACAGGACATATGAAAAGTTAAAAATGACATAAACGACAGAGGTGCAGAAAAGCAATGTAACATTTCAGCGTACAAGAATTACCTCAAAAAGGTTTGCAGAAAAGTTTTTCCTTTTAGATCTCTCTGGTGAAATAGTCGAAAGGATTTGAACAACCTCACTCATGTTTGGTCTAGCATCAGGATCCAACAGTAGGCATTCTTTTGCCAAGTAAGCCATTATCTGCATCTCTTCTTCCGGGAAGTTTCCATCTAAATCTGGATTGGCCAACTCTGTGATTACGCGCCTACTATCCTGCAAACGAGGCGTAGCCTACAAAAAAGACAAAAATGTTCATATGCTAACATCAGTTTTTATTATGATAAAGACTCGTAGTAATTAGCATCGTGGTAACAAAACGGAATTTCATGCAAAAAAATTGACGGACATACGTTCCTAGTAATAAAGTTTAGCATTTTCCTTACCCATATGACAAGGCTTTCTTCTCCCTTGTTGGTTGATTGATGGATGGGCTTCCGACCAGTGATAAGCTCAAGAAGAACCACGCCAAAACTGAAAACATCTGACTTAAGAGATGCTCTGCCAACAATTGCATACTCCGGTGCAAAATAACCAAAAGTCCCCTGCATTCTAGCTGGAGAACTAGATGCACTAGGGAGACCATCGGCTTTCAGGCATTTCGCCATACCAAGATCAGTTATCTGCACATATATAATAAATGTTTCAAAATATAAGATATGCATGCCAAATATCTGCGTCAATTAGGTTTATCTTTCAGTTCCTAGAAGCAAAACAAACCGTGTTCGTAGCTAAACTGCCATCATAGTTATTTCCCTTGTTTCATTATAGAATCGAAGATTTCAATCCATGTCTCAAATAATCACTTCTTACTTTTGCTTGCCAATTTTCATCCAGAAGAATGTTTGTGGATTTGACATCTCGATGCAGAATTCTTGGAGCAGCTGCTTCATGGAGATATTCCAAACCCCTTGCAGCTCCAATGGCAATCGAAACTCGAGTGACCCAATCCATGTTTTTTCCTTTATCGCCATCCAAACAATCTCTCAGGTTACCGTTATTCATGTACTCAAATACCAATAGCCTCTCGGCATTTTTTCCATGGGTTTCAAAGCAGTACCCAAGCAAAGGCACCACATGAAAATGATGAAGTCTTGCTAACATCTCAATCTGAGGAAAAAACAGATAAGTAAACTTATTTCTTCTGCCAAGAAACCAATACACAGGATGTTGAAGTATATCGAGAAATGTACAGAAAGATGAGGTACTACCTCTGTTAAAAAGACTAGAGTCCATATCTGGCCCTTTCAGAGCTTTTAGACGCTTAACTGCCACAATCTCACCGTCTTTAAGCTGGCCACGATAGACATAGCTACTTCCGCCAAGTCCTATTAGATTGGAGTCTGAAAACTTATTGGTTGCATTTTCCAGTTCAACATATGAAAATTGAATAATTGCTCCAGGTGTAGCTCGGGGTTTGCTCCTAAATACGCAAGAGGTAAAGCACCCTGTGAATTGAAACAGAATAGTTATAGCAGTAGCTGAATGGAGAAAAATATACAAATAAAAGGCCCATGTTTAAAGGAGTACTAAGAAGTGAACAGGCCAAAAAGATGAGCGGGTATATAAATATTAAGAAAACAAACTCTGCTAAAACAGTCCATAGATTAAATTACCTGTGCCTTTACTGATGGGAGAATCCATATTAATTTTGGTCTCAAACAATGAGCTCTTATAGCTAATTAAGTTGGAAGCACTATTGCAACTTTTTTCCGTGTCTGACGAAAATATTGGCGGTTGAATAGAGCACTTGGCCCTTCGGCAGAAGTAGCATGCCACCGAGGAAATAAAAGCAAGAGTTGTGAGTATGACACATGCTAAAAGAATAATCACAACAACTTTGCTCGGAAGATGGTTTTTTGAAGGCTGTGCTGCATTGAGATATCCTGTTAACGAGCAATACAGAACAAGTCACAATTAAATGACATAGCAAAAATTCGGATGTATGTAAACAAGATTATCTAAAGCATGTCCATGTGGAACAGATTATGGATGCGTCAATACATGTAAGTCCAAGATGGGATGTCGCAAAAAATGGGGTGTGCGTACAAAGGAATCGTGCAGTAAACCAAAATTCATGGTCACAAAAAGCAATCAATTTAAAAATAGCATGAATTTTCGATATTTTTGGTAAAGTGCATCATTTGACCAATAAATGAATACATGATGCAGACTTCAGAACATTATAGACTTCCTGGTTCGATACAGTTTGTCCAACGTATAACTTAGTATTCTACCGCCTAGAAACAACTTATACTGAAAGGATTGTTAAAAAGAAACGTTTGTGAGTGAGTGTGTGTGTGTGTACGCGAGAGAGAGAGAGAGAGAGAGAGAGAGAGAGAGGTACCATAAGTGCAGTTGCAGGCTGCAAAACAATTAGGATCATGACCGTCTGCTGCCACTTTAGGAAGCCCATTCGCAGCACATATGCATGTCCATGTAGTATTACTTCCAGCATCTATATTAAAGAAAATTGAACCATTGTTCTACACCGTACATTACATGCAAAAAACCAGGTGTATAAAAGTATTCCAGTCACCAAAACAAAAGGATCTTTCTTAACCAACGCAATTAACTCCTAACATGCAAGGATTTAACCAAAGCATTTTTTGATGTATAAAACTAACTTACAAAGACCTTCTAGCGAAACATTGAGTGAAAAAATACAACGGTTACTCAAAGCCATTATTCTTTCAATTTGACCATATAAAGAATCTCCCATGTGCGCAGAAAAATCACAAAGTTCACTCAAGAACATATTTGACATAATATTCTAATATGTATTGACTGGAAACTGTTATAAACAGAACTAAATATAACGAGATGGCAGAAGGGACAAGTGTAAAATTCTATCGGCAATAATGTTGTATCAAAAGAAGTGTAAGCTATTGGTGATTGTACCATAAAGATCAGTGGCATACCCTGACTGCAATTACAGGATGCTGAACAGTAAGGTTCTAGGGTGTAGCTCAGGTTTCCTTGATATGAGCATCTACATGTCCAGTCTGTTGCGTTGGAAGTACTCGAAACCTCATCTGCTGCAATAAATTATCCAAAGAGGATTCACAGATTTTGTTCAAATGATACTGAATTACAGATTTGAAGGCAAGGATGGTATGCCTTGGATTTACCATCATGCAATATCAATAACTTTTTGCATAAAAATGGAGCGATAAATGAGAAAATCAATACTAACCGCAAACACTTTGCTGAATCACGATCAAGGTTATGAGACAGGCAAGGGAAACTTTCACTTGGAACTTCATTTATTCTAACCTGAACAGTATGACGATATCATATTGAAATTTGAATCCATTACGAAAATGAATACAACAGAAGTAAAATAATAAAGACAAGCGTAGAAGACATTTTCAGGTCCTAATGAAAAACTCAAAATGAACAATTATGTAAGCATCCAGTAATATCGGTTTCCCTAAAAATGCTGCAAAATGCAATGCAAACAACAGCCTGACACCGATATAACAAACTGGAAATATAAACAATTCAAGCCATTTACATTGCAGATAATGATTCCAAGAGATTAAAGGAAAAGGAAAAGAAAACTAAAATCCGATGTGAAACTCTCATAAATCTGAAAGGCACATATAATCCGGAATCAAACAGTTGAAAGTTAGTCAAGCGTGTAGCAGTAAAATATGACAGGCAGGTGTTGTTAAATTCATGGTTGGCCAACAAATTTATGGCAACCCACTTTGCTATGCACTCAAGCAAAATATGTAGTACAACATGAAGTTCGATTATGCGGTATTGTCAACACAAAATTTTGGCGAAAACGACTTCACAAAGTCTCACAATTACACATAACTAAAAACATAAATGCAGAAATTACCATTAAAAAAAAAAAAAAAAAAAAAAAAACCACATAGCATTACTCATTTATACCTGTAACTGCGGTAGAGTTGCATCAAATACGAAACACCAGGAAATTTGGAGATCAAGCAGAAATTGGCCCAACAAATGTAGCGACTGCCCCCATCCATCATCAATGCATTTCTGCTTGTAGCAGTCCCCGTCCTATCTTAATTAAACTGCCTTCTCAAACAGTATACGAAAACTTAAAAGGAACAAGGTTCCTACAAACAAAATTATACTTTCCTTACAGTAACTCTATAAGACTTTAAAAGTGACATTGCTTCCAAACAGATAGAAGGTATAAAACTTTAAGAGAATTAAGGACAATCAGCACACCTGAGAAAGTAAAGAACCGCAGCAGAAACAGCAAATTAGTAACTCGACCTTGACTTGCAAAATACGAAATCAGAAGGAACAAGCATTGAGCTCAAATTACTAAAAACATCGCAACTCCCGCCCCCACTCTTTACCTTCAGAGTTTAAACATGAGTAATTACACAAAGTGGAGCATAGCAAACCCATTATAACAACGACCAGAAAGGTCTAACATACGCAATCTCTTCAAAGATGATGGAGAGACTCTAGAAAATGGACAATGCCGAAAGCACATTTGACACGAACAGCGGGGAAAGAGACAAATGGGGTTCATGAATTAATGGAATGGAGAAAAGGAAACTCAAAACAAACCCATCAACCACCTCTCTGAAAGCTGCCCTTTTGCAAACCAGAAAGATACCCCTCAGCTGCACCTAAAATCTAATCCAACATTATCCATCGAAACCCCACAATCTGTTAAATTATAGCAAACGTGCCTCATTACTAAAATACCAACCGAACTCTCCAACCTTTTCAAATGAGAAATATTCAGACACCCCAACGGCTAAATAACGGTTGTAGTTTATCGAAGACTTTTACTTAGCTTCGAAGACGGACAATCAGACATACATGTACAGATACTAGGTCCGTAAAGCGAACAAGGGTTGAGCTCACACTGGGTCCTACCAATCTGTCGGCTGTCGGAAGTGGGCCCAATATTGGGTCATTGTGGGCTCCATATTGGGTCGTAGTGGGCCCTGCGTATGTAGACAGCGTGAATAGGTGGGGGTGATAGGGGGTGACATAATAAAACCACGGTTGAGAAAATACCAGACTATTCCAAAAGAGTAAAGACATAAACTTTTTTGTCAAATTGTAGTCACCAACCGTGCCTATAATGAAAATTCAAAAATTTTGGATTTGGTTTGTTGGGAAATCTTCCATTGATATGTGAACAAAACTTCCTTTCCAAAATAAGAAATCTTTCTTCTTTTTGACAAAGTAATATTTATCATTCCGTAGTTCTGATCAACTAACCTATCCTAACTCTGCGAAATCAAAGTAGAATATGAGAGGGAACGTAGTGACGTGGCATTGACGTCATAAAAATTATTTAATAGGTTAGGTAGTAGTAACATACACTTAATTATTTCCTTGGAAAAAATATGTACTTAATTACTAAAACACCCAAGAGAATGCTCATAAATACATTTGAGGCCAATGACCAGCGTTAATTTTCTCGTCTTCTAGAAGCTGAAATGAGTCCACCAGATCCGTACAGAGAGAAAAAGAAAATCGAAAAGCAAAAAACGGCATGGCATGGAAATCGATTAACGTAGTGACAATTTGGATATATTTTTACCTTGACAAAAAGTGATTCTAAAATATTGTGGCTTCTGCGATTTCTAGGTGCCTCCGTTGGTGCTAGAGAAGCCGGAAAATTGCGTCTGAATAAGCGCTTTTGAGAAACCTATTCGGCTTTTTGACCTCAGGCATTTTGGATCTGGTAATCCAACGATAATATAGGAGAAATGGAGAGAGAGAGAGTCAGAGCGTCTCCATTTTTAATTGCGAGAAGAAGCTGTCGATGGAAGTTGCTGCTTCTTCAACTGAAGATAGACAGTGAGAGTGTGAAAGTGAGAGGGTTCTCTGCAGAGAGGGGAGAAAGACACATAATAATTATTATGAGAGATAATGCACTTGAACCGAGGTGGCTCAGTCTTGCTTTCCGAGGTGGTCCCACTTCATTATATTTTAGTTTTACTTGTTACTTTTAAAGAAAATGTGGCACTTCGTGCATAGGAAAAATACAAATTGGCAAAGTCTTTTGTTTGTTTTTTTTTCCTTGAAAAAATAAAACGGTAAGTTATAATTATTTATTATTTTTAAGTTTAGAGAGATTATAGGAAATTTCATTGTCATAGTCAAATAGATTCATTAGCTTGGAACATCGAATTCAAGACCCTTCATATTTTTTTGTTTTATTGGTAGAGAGTTAAGAATAGACATAAAAATTGTAGAATCAAGAAATCGAATCACATCGTGACAAAATAATTGTAAAAAATCATGGAACCAAAACAAGTCGACTTAGGTTCAAGATGGACATGACAAAGGAAGAGCAAGTCACTTTGATCTAGATTTTGGAAGGTGTAGTGTTGCTAGCCGGATTGAGGAAACCATCATCGAGATTTTTGGAAGGTGTAGTGTTGCTAACCACAACGTCTTCTAAGCCATGGATTTCAAGAACATCCATAAAATGGAACTGCCATGAGAGATAATTGTTGCGATCTATGGGGGTGGTTATCATACGGGAGACATTGAAGGAGGTGGGGAGAGAGGCAGTCAGGGTGGCCATGAGAGAGGTGTGAGGTGGTTGCAGTGGGGATTAGATAGGGAACCGGATCCCTTCTGGATCCAAAAAATCTGAACCTAAGTATCAAATTATTTGGACCATTGAAATTTGATCCAACGGCTACAAACAGGAAATTCCTCTAAAAGTTATAATAATTGTAGCCGTTGGATCAAATTTCAATGACCCAGATAATTTGATCATTAGGCTTAGTTTATTTGGCTCCGGAGGGATACTGTTCCATTAGATAGGATTGTTAATGGGGGAAAAAGGATCCTTGCTGGATCCTTTTCCTGGGAATCCGTAGAATTCCGTGATCATGACTATTCATAGTACATCAGTGCAGTCAGAAATCATTTAAAATTTAAAATTAAATATAAATAGTCCCTAACGAAAATTGACCCCACGATGTACGATGAATGGTCATGATCACGAAATCCCTCGGATCCCCAGGAAAAGGATTCGGCTAGGATCCTTTTCTGTTAATGGCTCTGGGAAAAAGCTGATACCATACAGAAGTAATAAAAACAACAAATATAAGTGCTTCATGTATTTGTTGAATGGTCTTAATTTACGGTACATATTCATGCATCTGCTGAATGGTCTAAATTTATGCTACTTTTTTCATCATATAGATGGTTTAATCATCTTATGAAGACTACTATATTTAACACACGGGGCAAATGAAACACTCCAAACTCTTGCTATCTATCTAACTAAACACACCAATTATGAAGGTTGAAATTACTCGATGAAATTTGGGCGAAGGTAGTGTTCGGTGTTGCCAAAGAAGTCCAACCACGTGGATGGAGCAAGTGAAATGATGTTGCCATGGCTTCCACAATAAAGATTAGGAGGGTTTTGGAGGAGAAGTGGGTGGTGCCAACAGAAGAGACGAGGTTTTTGGAACATGTTGGAGAAGACAAGGTTTTCGAAGCTAAAACCATGGCAGAAGCAAGCATGAGGAGAAAGGCTAGAGAGAGATGCTAAAGAGGCTCTCTTAGAACTGTGACTTTGAACTCTATGTCACCTCATGTTAGCACAATATTTTATAATGTTAGCGCGAAAATTGATATTAAATTGTGAGGTGACATAAAGTCTATACAGAGTCCCACTTTGAAATAGTCCCTTTAGCATTTCTCAAGGCTGAAAGAGGGAAAGCGTTGGGATGAAATGGGATGTTTGGATATGCGGTTAACATTATGTTTGTTTTTTTTGCCCCCTTAGCATAGATAATATCGTTTGTTCAAAAAAAAAAAAAAAAAAACATTATGCTGACTGCATGATTGTAAAATTAAAGTTATAACAAGGGTTTTGTTCTCATTGGGCCACTTCATATGGTCAAGCATTATGCTTTGAACAAGCAATTTGTGATGTCATAAATCTATTGTTAAAACATGAAAATTCACATCTATAATCTCTATTAATTAATGAAACCCTTTTTGTCAACTAAAAGAGAGTGAAAAAACTACTTAGTCTTCCATCACACAAAAAAAAATGATGGCCAATAATGTAATTTCACATATCCAAATTTTACTGTTTTTTATTGAAGCCTTACCTACAGGTGATATTAAAATACATCCAATATTAAAATAAAAAAATAACCAAAAACTTAAACCTCCCACTCCCCCCATGTTTTCTCTCTCTCCCTCTCTCCTTCTCATTTTCTAAAAAAATATGTTCATACACACAAAGTGTGTAGGCAAATGCTAGTATTAATTAAGAAAATCCTCTGTATCAACAAATTGACAAGAGAGTAAAATAACTGGGGGCGGGCTTGAAAAACCAAAAAAGTTTAGATCGAATACCGAAACTAAAAAAACCAAATTGATTGAAAATTGAACCAAAACTAAAAAAATCAAACTAAATCGAAAGCTATTGATTTAGTTTCAGTTCTGATGGTACAAAAATCAAATGAAACCAAATTGAATGAATATAAATTATTTATTTATTTATGTTGGGTATTCATTTTTCAAACTCGATTCCAAGTTATTTGTTAGAATAATTTCAATCTAAGGCTAGGGAAACCTAACTTTAAGCCCAAATATGTTGAAATCTTTATTCCTTAGATTTTTTTTTTCTTCTTCATTTTCTCTCCAATATCTAGGTTATAAAGACTATGAAAAAAAATTGAAAAAAAAAACTGAAACTGAAAATCAAACCAAATCGAACTACAAATTGCAAAATTTGAACTGACTGAATAGTAACTTGAGTTTCATTTTCGATTTTTGACACATCCCGGTCCGGGCCCCCACCACATCCCAGACTCGACTCCACCGTAGCACGATATTGTCCGCTTTGGGCCCTGACCATGCCCTCATGGTTTTGTTTCTGGGAACTCACACGAGAACTTCCCAGTGGGTCACCCATCATGGGATTGCTCTCGCGCGAACTCGCTTAACTTTGGAATTCCTACGAAACCGGAAGCCAGTGAGCTCCCAAAAGGCCTCGTACTAGGTAGAGATGAGAATATACATATAAGGCTTACAGGATCTTCACCCCTAGACGATGTGGGATTTTACAATCCACCCCCCTTAGGGGCCCGACGACCTCGTCGGCACACACTTCCGACCAGGGATTGACTCTGATACCAAATTGTCACATCCCGGCCTAGGCCCCCACCACATCCCGGCCTCGACTCCACCATAGCACGATATTGTCTGTTTTAGGCCCCAACCACGTCCTCATGGTTTTGTTTCTGGGAACTCACACGAGAACTTCCTAGTGGGATTGCTCTCGCGCGAACTCGCTTAATTCCAAAGTTCCTACGGAACCCGAAGCCAGTGAGCTCCAAAAATGCCTCGTACTAGGTAGAGATGGGAATATACATATAACGCTTACAGGATCCTCACCCCTGAGCGATGTGGGATCTTTCAATTTTGGCAAATAATCAAACCGAATGATAATGAACCCATCCCTAAAAATGACCTTCATGTTTTTAATTAAGTAATTTTAGTGTTAATTTTCATAAATGAGGTGAATTAGTAATTTTATACTTGCCTTCCCAAAAGAGGGTTAAAAGGCATTTTTGTCTTCCATCGCAACAAAAAAGTTAAGGACAGTAACGTAATTTCACAAAACAAACACTCTTCCCTTCTCCTTCAATTTAAAAAACAAAAGTAAAAATTTCACACTTTTGACAAAAAAAAAACCAAAAAAAAATTCATACTTTATGTGTGGACATATACTAGTATCTATTATAACAACTTCATCTACCACATACATAGCGTGCGCATTAATTTGAAATAAATTTAAGGACAGTAACATAATTTAAAATAAAATTTTCGCATTAATTTGGTTACTTATCTAGCTAGAAAGCATTAGGAACATATTGTTTATAATCAAAGGGAGACTACGAAATTTACACTTAGGACATCTTTGACCTTTTAGAAAGAAAAAAATCATTAAAGTAAGAGCTAGTTGGGAGAGACACTGCCAATATTACCATGCTTGAAAATTAGCAAACTTTTTGATAGGGCTTTCGCCCATGGGCCGCATTTTAATAGAAACAATATTTTATTAGCACGAAAACAATTACAATCAACAAAGAGAACACTTGAGCTCTTGCCCAACTCCTCCGAAAACCAAAAACAAAGGGAGTGTAGTCAATTTGAATTTTAGAGAATTTTACAAGATTTTTTTACGTGATAGATTTCAAATGATTGTAGAATCCTTACAATTTTCAAATGAATTTTCAAGAATTCTTATGGACTTTGATTAAAGATTTGAATGAATTTTAAGAGATTCTTGTCATTTAAAAATTATTTTTTAAATAGAAAATAAGATTAAACAAAAAGATAAAATAAAAAAAAACTTTAAAAAAAAAAATTGAAGAACTTTGCCCAATCCTCCTGTGTAATGTAACTCTAATCCTCCATGATCCTCCACAAGCAGAAAATTAACATACAAATCAAGCTCCCCGAAGTCTAACTTCCACCACCATACTTATTCAAGATGTGGGGTAGATAAAATGGTTGGGTTGAGGGCTTCCCTGACGAATTCCACCTATTAATGTAAAATGCCTTGCCATTCAATATGAGCTGAGTCCCATAATCCATTCCTCCCCACAAATCTCAACTTTGTTTCGTCCTGAAAATTCAACCCCAAGTTACCGAAAGATCATATAAAGCCCCAAAGTTTAATAATTTGATTTGGGCTTTGTCTAAATTTCTTTGAGCTTTGTCTCAATTTTATGGCAAACCTTCAAGCCTTTTCCCTTCCAATTTGTTGTTCCTAGCCGCGAGTCACTATCCACCTGTTCCAGCCATTCGGCTCCTCGAGTGCCTTCTCCATGGATTTCGATTGAAGGTACGCTTTGGGTTTTAGTGGTTGCTAAAGTTCAATTTGCACGATTTGGTAAGATTATGGGAGCGCTTATAGCACGGGTGGCTTGCCCACCCCCGTTTTCCCTTTATCCTTTCGGTTCATTGGTTCTTCTCTTGACGGAGGCAGCTTGGCGGTGGTGATGCAACTATTTTGGTGGAGGAGGCTAGTTCCTATTTTTAGATTTAAGGTTTTCGGTTTAAGGATTGCCATGGGGCTCACTTTTGGAGTTTGTTTCCTTGTTTTCTTTTTTTATTTGGGATGCAGTTTTAATTTAATATTGTATATTATCGTTGGACTTTTCTCACTTTATATCGATGTGTTTTAATGAAATTAGTTGTTACACCCGAGAGAGAGAGAGAGAGAGAGAGAGAGAGAGAGAGAGAGAGAGAATGTGAACGAAATTTGAAGGTTCCTTAGGTAAACAAGTTCAAGCCTAAGAAAAGCCCCCTAAAATACCAAGGCTTGTAAAAGAGTCCAAATGTTGGCGTATTTTATGTAGGAAACAAGGTTTCCAAAGGAAATAAACTTGGACAAAAGATGACGAAAAGTTTAGATATTCCAACCAAAAATTGAGAATGAAAATACTCATTATTCATCATATTCGAACCTAAAACATGTTATTTACAAATGAAAAAACATACCATTAAATTGTAGTACTAGGTGGTATCATATTCCTAAAATTTGAATATGAAGAAATGAAAGAAAACAAATGAAGTGTTCAAACGGCATTTGGGGGTATAGTTATTTCTAATACATGTCAAATGTAATTCATCTAGTTATTCAATCGAAATAGATTCACCCTAAAGTTGTCTAGTTTATGTTGCAAATTGTCAAACCCAAATCCATATTTCAAGCTCCTCCACCCAACCAGAGTTTTTTTTTTTTTTTTTTAAATTTCTTTTTAATTTTTTTTATCACGTCACTCAATTGAATAAGTTAGAAGATTAGTAGTTCTTGAGTTCAAAACCTCGAAGCAATGATAACTTAGTGAAAAGAATGAGTAGATATACCATTATCATATATTCAAGTGAATAATTCACTCCAAAGTATCCCCACAATTAAAAGGCTATACCCCCTTCTCTTCTCATACAAACAAAAGAAAAACTAAACCATAAACAAAATTAAAATAGAAAGACCTCTACTCCCACCTCCTCCTCCTTTCTCACAATTGATCTCAGCCCCCATTACTCACATTTACCCAGTTCTTATTCATGTACATGTGATAACAACCAAACATACTCCCCCATAAGTTAAATCACCCAAAATTCCTCTGTATCCCAGTTATGTCCCCGACTCCCTGAACCACGAAGGAAATTAATAACGAAACAAAAAGGTTCATTGACGAAGAACATATGTAAGGTGAGGCGAACACTACTTTTGAGGATTATCGTGGCTGTGGCTTGGCCGGAAATGACTGAGCACTGCTGAGGGCTCGTCGGGGAGATGGGTTCCCTAACAACATGGTTTGGGAACGTGTCACCATGTCTATCATCGATGGTGTTTGGTAAGATAGCACAAGGCTAGTGCTATCTGTGGAATCACCTCGAGCAGTTGCCCTCTGCCATGAGTGTGAGCTCAATCCTGATAAAACGTATGCTCTTCCCGATTCCTCATATGCACGACGGTTTCCCATCCTTTCTTGCATCTCCTTTAACTCAGCGGAAAGTGAGACACACAGACAGTCACCAGCTCGTGCAGAAGCAGTTTCAGACAATGCCATACGACAGCTCTCCAGGACAGAGACTGCACCAGCCAAATCACCGTTCTCAGCTGCTACTCTAGCCTCGGCCATTGCTTGTGCTGCACGAAGCCTGTTCTGCTGCCTGTCTACTTCCAGTGACACTATTAGTTGTCCTACTACTTCAGGCCTTTGGATCGTGACTTCACTGCCTTCTTCCAAATTCACCATTTCTTTCGTAATGGGATCTCTGTAAGCATAGCTAACCTTTATGAGCGACATGTCATTACCAGACACATCATCTGGAATATTGATTGTCACCAAAAAATCCCTTTCTTCTTCAGCATACAGGTCTCCAACATCAATAGAACCCATTCTTGCATCAACCATCATGCTGGTTCTGTAACTTCCTGCTTTTATTGATCCAAGTTGCAAACTCGTGTGAACACACTCAATTCTAACCTTTAGTTCTTGCACTACCACACTCAAAAGGCCGCCAATACACTGTGCAAATGCATCCTGAATCACACTCTCAGCTTCTATGAAAGAAAATGTTCCACCAGAAATTTCCGAGATTGAATGCATCGAGGCAGCATCATGGTCTGCACCAAATCCAAATGCGTGAACTGGAATCCTCAAGCCCGCTGCATTATTGCGACGGATAGAGATTGGGATAAGTGATTGGTAATCTGATCGGGGATGGATCCCACTAGGACTACTGACAGTGTATGTATCCTGCCCATCAGATAGTAGTATGATACTGCAAACTGGGTTCTTCCACTTGCGATCTACTAACACCTTGGTACCTTTCCTAAGAGCCTCAGCAATGTTTGTCCCACCACTTGAAACCAGAGAGTTTACCGCCTGCAATGCCTGCTGTCGCCCAGTATCTGTCATCCGACGAAGGGGAAAAAGCCGGCGGGCAGTAGATGAGAAGGCAATTACAGACAGCCGATCAGATGGACCAAGGTTCTGTACAACAAACCCCATTGCCCGTTTCAGCAAAGCAAGTTTTGTACCTGCCATGCTGCCACTGATATCAAGCACTGTCACAAGATCTACTGGAGCACGAGAAATTTGAGATACTGGTGGTGTCTGGTTTCTGCTGCTATTCTGTCTTCCACTTGTAAGAGGAGCCTTCAGGTGGATTAGAACAGTGAAGTTATCATGTGAGGCTGCTCTTTGAATAGCCGGAACTTCAGGATATGTTTTGACCTCTATTGTTCGAATAGAATTGTTATCATAAGCATCTTCGACAGATGCGCTTTTGTTGGAAATCTCAGGTTGCTGATCTAAGCTTTCATCATCGTCAAATATAACTGGTTCGGGAGTGTGAAAGAGTGAAGAAACCGGTCGGGTTGCATCAACTCGTGGGGGAGGAATTTGTTGTAAAACGGTCATCCATGCATCATCTTGGGGCCAACCAACAGGGTTAATTCTAGAACCACTGCCTGAAAGGTCAGAAGCGGGGTTCTGTAAGGGGATTTCTTTCCACTTTGCTCTGCAAACTGGACAAATTTGGTTTCCATGTTTTACATTAGAAGTAATACAATGGAAGTGGAAAGCGTGGGAGCACTCTGCAGTGAAAATGGCACGCCCCTGTCCTGTCTTCATGGTCGTCAAGCATATTGCACAGGTGCTCTACAGTCAAGAACAACCTGGTTAGAACAATGTAGGTTGGTACTACATTCAGAACGGAAAATGTTGAAGGTACACAGGCAAAATATATTAAAGTTACGGAAGCACCTTTGTCAACAAAAGTGATCCTTAAATTGACTACAGGAGGCACCTCATATAACCTACCATTGAAGGAGAAATCTAGGATAAATTCTAAAAACCAACTATAGTTTATTATCTGATTAACATCGCATTCAGACCACTTGTAAAAATAAATTTAAAACAGGAATATAACATAATTTAGCTTTCTAGGGTTTCACAGAATTGGCTAGAAAAATAAAACGCATTGTTCAATATTTTTTTTCTCTGGATCACACTATGTTTCATATATCTTTCTGCACAAAATATTACAATTGATTAGAAATATCCTCTTCAAGAATTCCATTTATCATGTAGTTATTGCAGTTTACAAAGAAAAGATTCGTTCAGAACTTTATATTTTTTATAGTTAATCACTTGCTGAAAAAACTGCATTTCCACACGTCTCAAAATTAAGATTAAGGAACGATTGGATGATTCGACACATAAACTTGATGGGATAACCTTTTATCAGATTTACTTTACCATAAGCTTCGATGTGTGGGTTTGAAACCGATAACTCTCCAAGAAAATCATTTAGCTATCACGGCAAGCTATGAAGAACAGTAATTTAAGTACATAAAAAATGAATGTCCAACATGGGAATTACAAGAAATTATACATGCATGTCCATGTCTTTGTGTACAATGAGCAGGCACTTTTCCAATCAAATAATAATAACAGAATAAGCATCCATATAAACATCTAGATTTCGTTTCAGCCCTTTCGGGGACATGAGTTCTTAGTTTTCAGGTATCATGGATTATTAAAATAGTACCTCTCAGCTTTAACTCAAAAACCACTATTTGCATTTGCCCTAAAAACGTAGATTTGCATTTGGGGACTTGCATCCAAATCCAACCCTTTAATTTAGAGAATCTGAACCCTGGCTTATAAATATTAATCAGAATTCTTTGATGCATGTGAATATTTGGAAGGGTCAACACTCCACAGTATCATATTAAAGCTTTAACCCTGCAGCTCCACTTCCACTTATGCATAAAAAGGTGAAATATATTTCACCGTATCTACAGCACAGTAACAGTTGGCAATTTCGAGATTCTTTATACAATTTATTAATCATTTTCTTGGTCAATGATACAATTAATTAACTATGATCAAGGGGGTGCCTAGTTTAATCAGCTAGGCAACAAAAGAAGGAGGTCAATGAGAAATGGTCAAAAAACATGGTGGAGGACACCATGGGAAATTCCATCGATCAAGGGGATGACTTTTCAAAAGCAAAGAATAACAAAGCAAATTGCAGACTAACGATAAACCTTTCAAGTTGGTACGAAAAAAAGAAAATTGAAGCTCATCAAAAGAAGAATGATGGATTGCTCCTCTCAATTGCCTCTTCAATTCTCCTTTGGTTGCTTTTGCTGATGCTCATTGCAGGAAAGCTCACAACAATCAAAGGGTCCACAATCTATAGGGAGAGAGAGAGAGAGAGAGAGAGAGAGAGAGAGAGAGAGAGAGAGAGAGAGAGATGTGTGGAACAGCGCACTTGTGCTGACCAGACAAAGCACTTTCCCTTGGAGGAAAGGAAAGGTACAGCAGCCAGCAGGGACTCAGCGAGTGAAGTGTATTCCTTTTCTGATGAAATGTTAGCCAAAGGACAATGGTCCTTAAAGGGGACTAGTCCACTTTCTCTATCCCCACAACCACAACCCTTCCTCACATCTCTCTCTCACTCTCTGCAAATAGCTGAAAACAACCTGACAACCAATACCCCATATTCACAAAACTCACATTATCACCACCACCCCCCACCCCACCAACACCACCATCATCTACCCCACACCAACAAATACACAAAAGAAAAAAATTTCAATCATGATTAGGAGTTGGCATCACCAGTAAATTATCATAAAAAAATATCATAAACATGTTACTTATACCATCTTTTTTTGTTTATGCTAGTGATATTGGGAGATGGGAATTCAAACTCGAGACTTCAGATGCAAGGGATAATGTTCTTAACTAACTAAGTTACGCTAGCGCAAATATGTTTGGTTACGCCTTTACCTACCATTGAGTGCATGTAAAGAAATGAAATTTAGTGTTCAAAGAAAATATTTAATTAATTTCATTCACTATTCACTACGAATATACCATGGATATTCAACAAATAGCAAACACACATCTAGGGACCAAATGGCACAACAAATTAACAAGAAAATAAACCCAAATGATAAAATTGCACAAATCAAACAAAACCTACTATTAAGTGCATGTAAAGAAATGAAATTTAGAGTTCAAAGAAAATATTTAATTAATTTCATTCACTATTCACTACGAATCAACCATGAATATTCAACAAATAGCAAACACACATCTAGGCACCAAATGGCACAACAACAAGAAAATAAACCCAAATGATAAAATTGCACAAATCAAACAAATTAGCAAACATTAACACAAACAACAACAAAACCAATAACCAAAAGCTTAACATGCAAATGAATTTTCAAAGAATACAGAAAAAATCCAAACCTTGGAGGACTTGGTTCCAGTTTTGGGCAACCGGAGGCCGGAAGACGACGGCGTGGGCGTGGTGGGTCGGCAATCGGAGCTGCCTCCCATCGGAGAAAGCAGAGAGGACGATGAAACGGCGTCGGAGAATCTAGATGCGGCAACGTCATTCGATGAGGGTGACGGTTCCTCTCTGGTCTGAGGAACATAGAGACATGAATTCAACCCAAGAGCTAGCTTGGCTTTCCTCCATTTGCTTCCCATTTTTTAAACTTGTTTTTTTCTCAGCTCAAAATCTTTGTAAAGATCCAAACTTTTTTCAGATGTTGAATCTGTGACCCATACCCATGATATAAGGTGAAGAAGCCATGGTGGAAGTGTGGAGGTGGTGTGTCATGTTGTGGTGGTTTTGAGCTCAACAAGAAATTGAATAATAAAGAGGCAATAATAAGTGTTTGAAAAGTTTGAGGGCAAATGGTTTTATAGGGACCATGTAGAAAATGAAAGGGGAGACTAGGGGGGTGGCCATAAAAATTGTCAAACCGGAATATCGAATCGAACTATGACAAATAAAATCGTAAAAAATCGCATTGATAAAAAAAAGTCAAAATCGGAGCAAAAATTGAACCGAACCATTTCAAACGGTTTAGATTTGGAAATATTAAGAATTGGAGGAATTGAACCGAATCGTTTTTAATATAAATTATTGTTTTATTGTTATTTTTATATAAATAAGACATTTTTCCAAGAATATCATGTGCATAAGTCCAATATTTTTCTTCACTTCTTTCCCCTTCCTTTGTTGTTTTATCACTTTTCTCCCCTTACATTATTTTTCTTCATTCTTTGAATGTTATGCATTATGTACATTTTAGTTTTAGTTTAAGATCTACACTTTGGTCTTGATATGAACCTTTCTATCTTTTGATTTATATTTATATGCACACTTTCTATCTTCTGGTCACAAATCTTGTAGATCTAGTAGTGGAAACTTAAATTTACTTGAATTTGTGGTTAAAATATGTGTTTGGTAGTAGAAGTAGAAAATTAGGAAAAACATATATATATTTTTGGTTAGAATCGTAAAACTTAAATTTACTTGAATTTGTGGTTAAAATATGTGTTTGGTAGTAGAAGTAGAAAATTAGGAAAAACATATACATATATTTTTGGTTAGAATCGTAAACCGACATGAACCGAACCAGAATCGTCATGAACCGAATCTTACAATTTTAGTAATAAATTTAAGTGGAACCGCACCGAATCGAACCATTGAAATTTTTCAGTTCTAGTTCTATTTTGAGGGTGGAATCGGGACTAACCGGACTGTGCCCACCCCTAAGGGAGATTGATAAGTTATCTTTTTGAGTAAATTGTAGCAATGATCATTTAACTTTAACTCAATTAGAGCAATGGTCCCTCAACTAAAAATCTATTACCAATGGTCCCTCAACTCATCAAAATGTGCAGTTATGGTCTCTCAACTAAAAATCAATTACCATTGGTCCCTCAACTTTAATCCAACTGGAGAAATGATCTCTTAACTTTAACCCAATTCGAGCAATGATCCCTCAACTTTAACCCAATTGTAGCAATGGTCCTTCCAACATAACTCGGTTTGACAAAATTTTGACGAAATTGACGAAAATGACCATAGGTACACGTTTTGATGAGTTGAAGGATCCCAATTGTAGCAATAGTCCTTCCAACATAACTCATTTTGATAAAATTTTGACCAAGTTGATGAAAAGGACAATAACTACACATTTTGATGAGTTGAGGGACCAATGGTAATGAATTTTTAGTTGAGGAGTCATTACTCTAATTTGATTAAAGTTGATGGACCATTGCTACAATTTACTCTATTTCTTTGGTACAGTTAACATGAATGATTATTTTTTGACATTTATTTCAAAAATGATCAAATCATTGTTGTGTAGTCAGTATGTTATCATATTATCATTGTGTAGTTTTTATATAATCAATATGTCATCGTTATTAAAAATGATTACTTTTACAACTAAATATAAAAAAGTGATGTAGTTTTTTAGATATCTGAAAATATTGTTACATGATGTTACATTCACTCAAATTATAATACATCCATTTGGTTTTTGCTAATGTACGCTAAATATGAAGCATATCAACTTTAATTTTTTACACACATCACAATACACAACATAACTTATGTTCACAACATCATCAATGTTTCTTGTGGGTTATTTTTTTGGGATTGAATATACTTTTTAAGAGCATCTTCGAAAGAAACGTTAAATATTGAATACCAAATTTCAACTTAATGATCAACTGATGTGTTTAATATATTATTTTGTATTTTAATATATTACTTTTTCAAATCATAGTAAATGCTAAAAAAATATAATAACTTCACTTATACCAAGCATTTAATATAAGGCCAAGGCTAGCCTAAAAAAAAAAAAAACTGAAATAATTATTTGGCATATGAATTTGCACTTTTGACCCCAACTGCCAAGCCTTTAAACTATATTAGCTTTTGGATGATCAGTTGGAACGAAATGAGATGTTATTTTTTACTGTTATACGTTCACTTGACAATCTGAAGCATCGGTTGGTGGGTGGGAAATCCGGCCTTGAAATTTAGGGGCCTTAAAGTTAAACCAAGCCCCCAAAATTCGAACTAACTTCGAGTTTTTGTATTTTTATTTATTTTGTTTAATATATTTACAAATAATGAGTTATAAATTAAAACCAAACGGAAAAATTAAAGTGTACTAAAAATTAGCAAAGCATCTAGTTTGAGGTTTTTTTTTTTTTTTTCCTTCGCAAAATCTGATTTGAGTTTCAATGGACCTTTTTATGTCTTATTTATTTACAAAAATAAATAAATAAAAACACAATAAAAAGAATTGTGAAAATCCTTCTTTAGAGACAGCTGCTACACTACAAGTATATATACTTCTATGGTCTGCATGAAAAAGTATACATCCTTCCAGTGGTGGATCCAAAAACTAATATTAGGGGGGTCAGTAAGAATAGCACGCACAGCGCGCAATTTTTTTTTTACCAGAAATAGCATGCATATCGCCATTTCATCTAGTCTTGGTAGGCCTGAAGTCATTTGGAAAGGTATAATGCTAATGCCTCATTTGTGAGAGTAACTAACATGTTCCAAGGCTGCTTGCATATGAATGCTTAACAAAGAAACACACTTATCTTGAACACACTAACAATGTTTGATATCATTGCATCCCGTTAGTATGTGTTGTCCAAGAATGATGATGCTTTGTTAATTCACTGAGATCACCATTTTATTCACTCTTCTTTCAGACATTTTATCATGTATGAAGCCAACTCTAATCTTTAAAAGGGCAACACCCAAGGTATCCATGGACATTCATCGAAGTTTGAAGGATCAGCACCCAAGGTATCTATGGACATTCACCGAAGTTCAGGTGGTCAACTGACCCCCTGCCCCTCAATGCATCCGCCACTGCATGCTGCTTTAGAGACAGGTTAAAATACAAAATCGGGGACCCCCTTGCGGTTGGAATCGTGTGCGGTGGCACCACCTGCAAACCCTCCGAGCTGGTGGGTAGGTGGAGATGGTAAAGAGATTGGAGTGATCAGAGAGGTTCCACAACAACCCTTTTCTTTTATCAGCTGCCGGAGGATGACAACAAAAGTTTTTGTTTTTTATTTTTTGTTTTTTTTTAAAAGGGGCTAGCTAATGACTTTGTCACGGCAGTCTACCTATTCTTTATAGGACCGAAAAAAACTCAGAAAAGACATTTAAACTTTCATTGACCATCATCGTGTAATTTACCAATACTAGAAATTGAACCTAGAACGACAACAAAAGTTAATTGCCCAGAGATACACACAAAACATTTTCTGCACACATGCATAAAACAATGGGGAATTTGTATTATAATTTGTTAGAAAATTAGGAAGGACTTTTCTCTTTCTTGTAAACTAAATTACAAGGGAGCGTCACACAAGCAACAGCTAATAAATCCAATAACATTTTGGATGGAATATCCAAAACCAAAATAATAAAGAATATGATTCTTTTATTTTTCCTTTCAAATTCTGAAAAATCGACCGCTCCTTGACAAATGTTGTCGACATTATGCCCGACACATCTCACCAAATTGAGCTCTCCGGCAACATTGCTGGACGAAATAGAATCAAAACGAGCCTTCAACCCATGAATGTTGAACATATCAGTCTTAAGCCGACGGAATATCGGGCATCCCCGATTTACAACATTAATTACAAGTTTAGAATCTCCGTCAACATTGATATTCTTTAAATCATAAGAGTGAGGTCACTTAATCCCGTCAATCAAGGTTGAACTTCCGCTACCTGCACAGAGACGGCAGTGACTACAAAATTATGAGCGGAGGAGCATGACCCGTATCTGATCCAACTTTAGCACGTAAAGCTAGGACATATGAGTGAATGATCTATGGAAAAATGCACACAAAATATAGTTGTTGGATGGTGTTAACAGTGTAAGTTTAGGAAATTTGATTTAGCTCAATAAACAATTTCATTTTAATTTTTTTTTTTAATATTTTCACATAGGTTGATAGATTATTCATTTTAAAGCATACGTCACTAGAAAACAATTTTGAGTAGATGTGTTGTCCACGCACCGATTTTTACTTCTTGCACACTCTTTGTTATTTTCTGTCATTCGATTTTTTTCAATTCATTTGATCTGACCGTTGAAAATTGAGAAGATTGTGTAGAAGGTAAAAGAACTTGTGTAGATAGCACCACCAATCCATAAAAGGACGTTTTACAAAACCCTTCACCTGCATCACCGTGACACCCTTCCCCAGGTACTTAAAATCAAAGTCAAATGTAAGAATAAATGCTATATATTACTTGGGTTACAAGATACTTCTGCTTATAATATGGCCGATTTCACGTGGAAAATTTTAGACCAAATTTCAAATACACCTATGAGGAGCAATTATGAACCGCTTCCAAATCTCAACTTAAAATGGAGGCGCATGCAATGTAAGTGAACCAAAGCAGTGTATATCAATGATATCCATTTTTCATTTACTCATCATAATGAATTTCTATCTGTTCCGATATATATATAGGGACGTATATGTGGTATCATATTTTTTACACAAAGTTTGACACAAATTTTGGACCATTAAATTAGTCCACTTTTAGTGGTTGAGATGTCATGGCAATTAATTTTCAGTAACTCTTAGTGTAACATCCCACATCGCTTAGGGGAGTGGATCATGTAAGCCTTATATGTAAATTCTCATATTTACCTAGCACGAGGCCTTTTGGGAGTTCACTGGCTTCGAGTTCCGTAGGAACTCCGAAGTTAAGTGAGTTCGCGCGATCATGGGATTCCGAATTCGAATCCTCTGCTTAGTTCTATCAAATTTTCCTTGACGATGAATCGGTATAATAAAAGTGAAACAATTTGATACAGGGTTTTTA